AGGTAAGAATTCATTAAACTGATTTAATGAATTATTTTTTTCAAGTCCTAGGGTTAACTAAGATTAGTAATTCCTATTATTTAAATGTTTGAAACTCTTCAACCCTTTGCAAATAATTTTAGTGGGATGTGACAGTCAGGGAAATATGTTATAGCTACAGAAAGAGGAATATTTAACTCTGTTTCAGTTCAAGTGCCTATTATTATTGTTCCATGTGAACTTTTTGTTTTTGTTTCCATTTCTTTTCCTTTTCTCTTTTACGGTAGTTTCAGATCCAGACTGAACTGAACAGTCGCATTGAGAAGTACGCATGTACTTTTAGAGAACAGTAGGTAAAAGTAACATAAAGCCTTGTATAATAGCAAAGACAAGGTAAAAATGATTTTAAAATGATGTACATTCACTAGAGTTGACTTGAATGCATATGTAACATTGCCAATGATCATAATCAAATTTACCTGCATCTAAAATGCAACCTCTACCCTGTGCCTCTTTCTAGATTTTCTTAAAACATGGCTATACAAATCCTGATTTAAATTCCCACAAGTACTTGTAGCCTGGTACTAGTAACTTACTTAAAGTTTAAATTCGCATTTTTTTCCTGATCGGGTAGCCTGAGTGTACATTAGTTCTTGCTTTGTTTCCCTGGTCCAGTATAAGAGAATTAATTCCTATGGTGCCAAAATTATTTTTATCAACTCTAAAAATGAATAACTTATATGCCACAAACATAATGTTTTTCTTGTGTAAGTTACTAAAACCATTTAGGCTGTAAGCACGTGTTTTCTCTCAGAGTAAATTGATTGAATATATTTATTTTCATAGGTGTAGAATACATATGTAAATCAACCATGAGTTTCAATGTCACAGGCCTACCATAGTGGGTAAAAATATAATGATTACTAATCAAGTAGCAAATAAATAGAAAGAATTACAATGGATAGCAAAAAGTCAGAGCCAATGATGGCCCATCCCTTAACCCCTTTGACTCATATCTTAAAATTTTAGGACATTTAAAACTAATAATTTTTTACTGTAGACAATTATGTGCACTTTCAAAACATCCCTAGTTAATTCTTCATTTGTAATACATTTTAAAATTTTAGTTTTGTGAAAATATTAGCAAAATCCAATAATATATTTAATAAATAAATGTTCTTTCTAGTGCATAAAAATGTCTCCTTTGTTTCTAAGTGTCCTAGTTATTTTCTTTACCCAAAGCATCATAGAAAATGCAATGAAAGTTTATGTGAAGCCCTTAGAACAAAAGGCTTCTTTGCAGAATGGACAAATGTTAACAAAACGAATCTGATCTTCAAAACTCAAATGCTTATGTATTATAGATTTTTTCTTCAAATTACCACTAATAATAATAAGCATATGAATTTCTCAATTAAAATGCTATGGCATAATGACACGAGCAGTCTTTCAGTGCTATTCAAATGGTTTTCTTTTAACCTTTGACTTTTTTTTTTTTCAAGTTCAAGGTAGACATTGGAAAATTTATTGGTCAGGAGAAGGATTCTTTCATAGAACTTGTTTAAGAACATCTGGCCAGGTGCAATCACATATCTTGTCGTGATTATGTCTATATGAGACATTAAAAGATGAGCTACTCCATCCTTGAACAGTTTGTAGACTTTTTCTCACAATATTAAATTTTTCTGCTTATCAGTGTGATTTTGGTGGAATTTATAATTATAAAATCAACATCTGTGTTTCTCTTCCTACTCTCCAAATATCTTCATTCTCTCCATATTTACTTGATTAATGGTTTTAAATTCCTGGATCACTTGCAAGAATTATGTTCAAATGCAGTTAACTTATCCTTGGTAACCTAGATTTCTCACCAACCTCTGACCAGAAAAAAAATGTCCTCTAAAATTTAGTATATTTAGATATAGAGGGCACCATGGCTAATCTCCTATAAAAGAGACAAAAAGACAACCTGTCTTACTGTGATCTTCCTATGAAAGGAACGTGACTTTCTATGGACTCAATAGCACCTCGACAGAAGAAAGTAGTTTAGATTTTTGTTTAAATGTTTGTTCTTGGGAAGATTGAAATGTAAAGCACACTAAAGACAGTTAACTTGCCCCAAGTTACTCTACTAGGTTAACAGAGCTAGATTCAAAATCTGAGACAGCACCCATGTGCTTGCCCTAGGAAGTATAAAACAAACACACTTTCGTGCTCCCATTTCCAACAAATTTCAGGAGAAACATGTCTCACAAAGAGTACAACATTCACCTAAGAACACACTCATTCATAGTTTAGCATTATCCACAAGTGGATAACATTATCTCATTATCTACATGAGACGTTGGAAGAAAAGACTCAGGGGAAAACAGTTTAAAAGATGACAGATAACAAGATAACAGAATTCATCCAAAAGAAGACGAATAATTTCACAAGGACCAGCCACCACACAATCCAAAACAGTCACTTCTTTGAAATCTCACTTGAAAAATGTTTCCCAAAGAATTTGTTATTTTTAAGAAGATAATCAAATGGCCTGGATCTCACAGGTGAGCAATACCTACTTAAATTTAATGGGAAATGTGACTTGCATTTAGGCTTCAATTAGGCGAATTTTCAAAATAACACTTTAGTTTTCTGTTATAATTAATATTCATATTAAAGTGCTGGGTACCGCTGAGGAGGTATTTATTCTAGGAGCCATTTAAAATCCTAAATGCTTAAATTCTATGTCTTCTGATCTACATAAAGTTGTAGGGGGGTTTTCTTAATAACTACCATATGAGGTAGAATCAGAGTCATAATAAGATAACTTTCCTTTAAAGAATGAAGTTTGGGTTTGTGTTCGACCACTATGTCTGAACCATTTTAAGTGCCACTCATGTAAATGGGGAGTCCTGGGAGCTTCGAACTTTCTTTATACCTTTTGGGTTTCCATTTGCCTTTCACTGTAAGCTCTTCTATCTACTAGATCACGTTTAATGTAACACTATCCTGATATAATTAATAATATATCCTGCTATAATGCAGAGATCACAATTCTGTTTTTATTTGACTTTTGCTATCATGTTACAACCACCTGTCCAGGATACAGCATCTGATCTTATGTATTAATAGTGTTATAGAAAAGTATTAAAGATGTATACATTGCTTTGTGAAATGTTTGCATTTCAATGATATATCCATTTACTCCTATTAGTATGATTTCAGAAGTATAATAGTAAAAAACTGATTCTGGATGCACCAAGAGCAACTATACAGTGTAGGAATAAAACATGCAGTCATCAGGTCCCCAAAAGAGCCTCCTCTGTCAGTGTGTTGGTTCTGTGCTTCACACAGAACATGATAGTATCATTACCTTACTGATCAAGCAAGTGCCCACCCTCCATTAAAATCTGACTAAATTCTACTGTGAGGAATTGTAAAGTCTGGGAACCTAAAATACTATGTACAATATTTGCTGAACACATGCAGACTGCATTCAGCAACACATCATGTCGTGCACGCAGAGGAGAGTTGTTTGGAGAAGAATACTTAGATAACTGCACCATAAATGAACAATTGATACTTTCCTCTCCACTGAAAGTCTGGAACAGTTCAAAACCTTTATGTTTCTTTCACATCTATAGGGATATGTATTTAGAATGGAGACCTCATTATCGTCAGTGTTGTAGGTCAGTTAGGTAAAACTCTGAGTCAGTTTCAGAGCCTGGCAAATATTTATATCCCTAATATGAAAAAGCATGTATTGTGAGCCAAACCAGCCTGCCCTTCACAATCATTCTCTTAAAGCTTTACACTAACTGTTCATTCGAAGGGTGTAGCTAGAGTTAAAACAATTTCTGCATCCACGTTTTTAATCACTCATTCACCTTTAAAGGTATTAGTTAAACTTGACTTAAACAAATAAGAATATATGCAAAACACATGTCAGAAATCAAGTACAAGTTGCCATCTTCACTGTGAAAGTTTAAAAGAAATCTTAATTTTAAGTCAGATTCTATAATTCTTTCATGTGCCATAATTATCTCATTTTCTTGTGCCTGTGGTAATAAGGTATCACAGCAGACCATGGAGATATATCGTCCTAGAAATTTGCACTGTGGATAATGGAAACAAAAGCAAATGGAATCCGTGGTGCATAATATATATTCTAAATCTCTTAGAACAAAGAAGCACATCTTGGGGGCATGTGAAGAACTTCTTCAAAATTACTTACTGCCTTGCTCTTCTCCAGTATGACTGTGATAACTCTTCTTCTATTCTAGTGGATATGCTTGGGGATAGTTAGAAAAGCTCATAAAATGGGTATCATAGACGGACCTACTTCCTTTTATTTTTCCACATCTTTTTATGTATATATGTGTAAATATATACACATATGCATCCCCATAATATACAAATGGTTGGCATATATTTTCAATTTAATGTAAACACTTGCTTCTCTTCTTTCAGTATTAAATTTTAAGACTGCATTAGTTGAAAAGTATGCCCCTCTGAATGACTTCATGAGAAATAACTTCTCCAGGGTCTCATAGAGGAATGTGCATTTTGTTTTCAATGGCTATCATCTAACTATAGACAACACAACATTTGTGACTTCTTTTTTCAGTTGATAATAGGCACTTTCTAAGAAGAGGATTTGTTACCCAGAAGACTGTGAAATTCAGTCTTATGATCCTTTTGTAAATGGACCTGCCTGAGCCATAGCAGTCTATTGTATCACCTCAGCAGAAGTCCAGCACTGCAACGGTGTGCAAAAAACCTTTAGAAAATTGTAGCCAGAATAAAATCATAGAAAAACAGTCATCTGAGCTGAATAACTTAACATATTTTACTTCTTGGTTGGTTTGTTAGTTACCACATTTCCTGTTACCTATACAAACAGTAAGAATCATGTGTCAACAATTCTGTACCTGTGTTTCATTCTTTCTAAGTCACAGATATGCAGTTAAAACATATCTAATTGCTTATGCTCTTTAAAAATAATTATAACGTTAACAGTTGAAAGTTTGGTACATTAGGCTTCTTTGCTAAGAGCCTTTCAACTTCCCCCCTTGAACGAGCTTTGGAAATAGAAATGTGGAATATTCATCATCTTTGGACAACTGGCATATCTAACGTGATTTGTTAAAAGGCCCTTATACCCTGTGGTGCAGTTTTTCTATAATAATATACACTATATTAACAATTGAGTATTTATGGTGTTGATGTCAGCTTACAAGATGACAGTTGTTCTCCAAGATGGAGGGAGCAGGGAATTCCTTACATAAGAGTTAAAGATTACTATTTAATATAATGCTAAAAAAGGAGAAGCATCATTGAGTGGAAATGCAATTCATGCACAAAACCCATAGCAATAAGTTCTCAATATCTGACACTGGTATCTGATGTAGGCAACGGAACAGTCATTTCAATGGAGCAAACATTGCCTGCAGGGAAAAAGAACCTAACACTAAGTTACAGAAAAGTACCCTTATGGTATGGGAGCATAAAATGGTGCTAACAGCTTAAGAAGTTCAACTCTTCCTTGACATTAATCTATAATTGTAACTTAACAGAATAGTGAAGAAATGATAGCTCAATATACTCAGCCTGAGATCAAATTTGTCATGGCAACATTGGCAGGTTAGACCCTGAATCTTCAAGGTAATTACATTGCCTTAGTTAACAAAATTCATACTCTTTTATTACAGAATAGAGATTATAAATAAATGTAAAGTGTGCATGCAGTCAACTGCATAATATACAAGCGATATCTATGTCTTAAATAATCATCTTCTTTGGCAGGCCAGAATCCAGCTGGACATGCAGGATGTACATATCAAAATCCATATTGTGTTCATCATATTTAAAGCAAGTGAAAATATATATGTATATACTATATATACACATATGTATATAGATGTATATACTGTTTTAAATATATTAACAAATATATACGTATATATATATATATTAAAAGTTGATTTCATCTTTGTCAGATTCAGGTGACTCAGGCCTTGAAACACTAAAAATATCCTGACATGGTATTTGAGAAGGGACTTGGAGTGGCATTTGGGGTTTTGGAGAAGAGGTCTGGGGTACACTTTTTTCTGACAGTAGTTTTAAGATTTCTGCCACCTGCTTTTCCAGAGCAGTCATTCTGCAGCTCAGGAGCTGGATGTCCTCTTTGAGTTCGTGTTTTACTTCCTGCAGTGTGGTTTGTAAGGCCTGTTCAGGGATGGGGTAAAAGGGGTGCTTTGCATCAGCCTGAATGGGACTATGCTCTAGAGGACTTCGGGCCTCTCCAGCTTTATCCAAACGAAGGTCACTTTTTGTAATTCCACTGTCACAAGAATCTGTTTTCCTTAACGGGTTCTTGGTCACACTGTTCTCTGAGTCACTGCCCTTGGTGTCCTCTGACAAGAGCCCCATTGACTCAGCTTTGGTGACATTATTCCAGTCTTCCTTTTTCTCTTCATGGGTCCCCATGCCGTTCTTCAGTCGTAGCCATCCTTTCCCATTTCCGTTTTTCATCCTGATGGGGCTGTTGACTTTGAGACACTTTTGTTCAGCACCACCATTGGTCTTGAGTTCCATGGCATCATGGTTATTCTGCTTGAGGGACTCACTGGTTTTCACATAGGCCAGAGAAGTCTGGATGGGAGTAATCTGTGACACAGTGACCACGCTGGTACCTGTGATGGAGGCTCCATTCTGCAAGGAGCGACTTTCTACCTGGAGTTGGTTCCTCTCAGGGTCACCCTGAGTGGAGCCTTGGTTCCGCAGTTCCTTCTGCTGTTTGAACTTCTGGAAGAGCTTCCTGACTGGATGATCTACGGGGATGCTGAGAGTCACTTCGTTCTTCTGCCGAAGGCGCTCTTCCTCTTCCTTCTTTACATCGCTAATTTTACGGAAAATGATCTGAGGAACGGGAGAGATAATGAAACCATGGTTACAAAATATATAATAGTGTCATACTATACTGGATATGATTTCCTTTTCTTTTTAAAAAATATTATATTTATTATTTTTATATTTTTATGTGTATGCGTGTATTTCTTGCATATAAGTAAGTACACCCATGTCGTGCAATGCCCACAGAGGATAGAAGAGGCTGTCGGATCCCCTGGAACTGGAGTTACGGAGTTGTTAGCTGCCATGTGGGTGCTGGGATTCAAACCCGGAACTTCTGCAAAAACAGTCAGTGTTCTTAACCGCTGAGCCATCTCTCCAGCCCCATGATTTCCTTTTCAAAGGAAACGTGTGAACATACCACATGATCCTTTATAAAGGGAAAAGGTATTCAGATGCCACTTAATAATAACCTATTATACTTAAAATTCAGTATTTAAACTTTGACTACTGGCTCAGTTCTCTTCCCTAAGATTAGAGAGGGAAATAAGATTGACACCATAGTGTACAGTTACTTGATGCCTCCATTTAAAGGAAGGCACACACATATACTAATATATCTGCATATATGTATATGTATAGATATGTATGTGTATTGAAATATATATTCCTTAAATTCCTTAAATTTCCTCATTTTTGTATTTCCCCCTTTTGTAAATATTTTTCAAAACCATTTTTTAAACTTCATCCTCTAATATTTATGGGTAAGCTGCCAGGAGTTCCAGGCCACAAGCATATTAAAAACAGCATTGAGTTTGGCAACGAGACACATGGCCTTGGAGTGGACAGGGATTACGTATACCTACAAAAGCAGGATTAGAATTAGTGAGGAATAGTTTCTGAGAAGCAAGGGACAGCTCAACACATATACTTAAAATTGCTATTAAATATACCACCCAGAAACAAAGAATTTACACTCCTCAAATATCCAAACCTCAGTAAGTATTTTGCCCATAGGACACTTGAGCTGGGGATGAAATTTGGACTCTCCAAATTCTAAGAGTCTTAGTATTTTAAATGTGAAATTTAATATACAGTTGATGTGCTATTACATGACTATCCCCCACTAAATAAACATCTTATTAAAATATTTTGAAAATATTGGGAAAAATTGTAGTAATGTTATCAAGAGACATGAAGATTATTGGGTATATGAGATGCTATCAATTGCATTTTCAGTTAAAAGTTAATTTAGTGAGTAACTGCAGACAAAGCTGTAAGGAAAATTCAGAACAGAATTACATTTCATGAAGCATGTTAGAATCACACAATTTTATAACTCAAGCAGAATTACTTATCTCTTCCATCCTCACCATGCTGTTGCTTATAGTAGAAACACATGTGCAGTGCATAGTCCTGACCCATAATAGATAATCAAAAGAGATTGGATCTCTCCCCTTGAACTCAAAATACAGCCAACATGAAACCATTCTTATCTCCTTTCAAAGGTTCAGCAGCTCCCTGGCCAACATATTGTCACTGATTTCATATCAGAAAGCAATATTCATGATGGTCACTGTTAGCAGAGAATTCAAGGAGGCACTAATTCTCCTTCTATGCCAGACCTCATTTTCTGAAGTGGTACTGGCAAACTAAATTTAGTTTATCAAGTCATAATAATTTGGATTTTAAAATAAATATTCTACGGGCCGGAAAGATGGCTCAGCAGTTAAGAGCCTCGGTTATTCTTGCAGAAGATCCAGGTTTAAATCCCAGCATCCATATGGCAGCTAACAACTGTCCGTATCTCCAGTTCCAGGGGATCTGACAGCCTCTTCTGTCCTCCACAGGCGTTGTGTGACATGGGTGCACTTACCTACATGTAGGCCACTGTTGGGGCTGGAGAGATGGCTCAATAGTTAAGAGCACTAGCCAGCTGCTCTTGCAGAGGACCTGGGTTCAGTTCCCAACTCCCACATGACAGCTAACAGTCATCTGTAACTCCAGTTCCAGGGTATCTGATACCCTCTTCTGACCTCCATGGGCATTTCAGGACACAGGTGTTTTTATATGCATGCAGGCTAGTACACTCATACACATAAAATAAAAATAATAAATAAAATATTTTAATAAAGAAATAAATATTCTAAATTCAATAACTATCTGTAAAGGCTGCCATATGTGTTTCTCTCTAGTGGCACATGAAGTTGGGTCTTTTTAACAGATGTAACACTAATCTCGAAGTCTGACATCAAAGCTGCAGCAGTTTAATTAGAAATCTTCCCAAGTTTGACACATTTCTATCCTTCTCTGTAAACAGAGCATACACTAAGCTTTCAGGGCATTTACACTCTCTGGGACCAGATAGACCCAGATATGGAAAACTCAGAGAGGATTTTCATCCCTTCCATTGCAAACACTCACTTTGGTGTCATGAACCCACAGGAAAGGTTTGATGCAAATGACTTGACATGTCCCCATCTAATTCACTCCAAATCCCTTTGTTAAAGATATGTAATTACTTTGCCTGGGGCAGGCAGAGCTTTGGTGTGATGTGCAACTGAGAATACCCTTGGTATTTGGGGGAAAACGAATCCTGTTTCCACTCTTAGTGGAAAAGAGCAGGTGTGTAGCATCCAGGAAGGTCAGACATAACACAGAACAATCATGCAATGTGTGGGGCCATCGGTGCCAGTTGGTGTAGATGAAATTTCATTTTAATGGTGACTCATTGCTACCTTTGACAACCTTACTGATATGTAATGGATCAGACTTTTACCATCCCTGTAATGTCTCCCTGCACTTCACAGCTTATAGGAAACATTGAAGGCTTGATATGCCCAATGACTGAGAGTTGATGGGCATCTGAGGCCACAGCTTTATTTATTTGTTAATATTTTCAATGTAACAGCTAACAATTATATTCATTTCATTGTGTGTTTACCAAGTTCAGGGTGTTGAGTGATTTAACATTGCAATAGCTCCTTGAAAAAATACAAAGAAAAAGTCTTTTCTAGCTTTCTAGATCAGCAGCTGCTCACACTCACCTCCTGAGAAGAACAAACAAAGGTATTTAGATTGCTAATATTAAGCTGAGAACAAAGACTCCTACCATCAAAATAGCGAGCACAAAGGGAGTCCTGGCAGAGGGCCAGAACTCCCTTATGCATCAGGAGACAAATGAGGCAGAATTGGATTAGTGCATCTTGCCACCGAGAAAACTAAAAGGAACTTGGAAAGAGAAAGAATTTGGATTTGAGATGGTAGGTGACAGAGTCTTGCATTTTACACCATTCCTTTTCCTTGTCTTCCCTCTCCAGAGGGTAGGGAAGGATATACAGACAGATAAGGCAAGGACACTTTTATGAGGTGAGAAAAGCTATTGCACTCTACATAAGCCCTGCTACCAGAGACCTTCATACCATTAAACAAGCCACACAAGGAGACCAGCAAACAAACATGGTCAATACTCTGGGTCATGATCACAATGACCACAACCATCCAGATCTCAAACACAAGCAAGCCCAAGGTACTGAAACAGGACAGTCCACCTCCCCTTATCAACCCACAGAAAGTTTGAGCCCAGTTAAAGCAGGTTGGGAAGAGAGAGTTATGAGAGTGGATACTCAGAGTATACAATTTGAATTGAAGCCTAGCTGATAACAACTGCCACTTGAATTTGATCAACTGCCTACCAGATCTGTGCTTTTAAACTAGAGGCAATTTTTTAAAAGAATCAATGGATTTGATACTTTACTAAACTAATTTTTTTACTATGGAACAGATATATCAACTTATCAAAAGTTATCAAAAATTTACACAGAGGACTGGAGATACGGCTCACTAGTTAAGAGCACTGGCTGCTCTGAAGAGGTATCCAGGTTCAAATCCCAGCGCCCATACTGTGGCTAACAACTGTCCATAACTCCAGTTCCAGGGGATCCGACATACTCTCTGATCTCCAAGGGCATTGCAAGACACGGGTGCACTTAGATGTGTAGGCAATACACTCATACACATAAAAAAATAATAAATAAAATATAAAAAGTTTACATAGAGCAACACCTTCACTCATACGCTTGACTTTCTCCCATGTAACGGACATCCATACTGTATGAGATGCATCCTATCGTTCTCATATTGCAGAAGAGTAAATGGAGGCACAGCAAGTTTAAATGATTTGTCCTAGGCCACCCAGCTAACAAGTGGCTAAGATGTAAATCCAAGGAGTTGGAATCATACAATCTTAACCATTCATTCTGCTGTTCCTCGGGGCAATTTTAATATGTGCCCTGGACCATGGGGAAACCTGGACAGTTGAGCAGGGGGAGTAGGGGAAGAAGCAGAAGTTTCACACTAAGCAGGTAAGCCAAGCCCTTTACAGAGGATTGGTCATGGAGAATGATCCCTTAAAACAGTACTTGGACCATATTGCTGGGTCCATGGCAGCCTTGCCTGCTGGCCGGAAAGACCTCGAAGAGAGGACTTCAGACTCTACTGATGCTTGCTTCACTCTATCCCCATCAAAACACATGTCATCAGCTTGTTCCTTCTAGCTCTTGTCAAGGCTGCTTTGTGTCTTTTCTTTCTTATACTTGTATAAAAACCCATTACCTGGAGGCAAAACAAGGGGAATGCAGACTCAAATAATGTTATTTGCCCTGGACTCTGACACCATCTTTGATCCCTCTTATGTCTAGATTCACTTGTTTATGAGAAAAGGATGCCTGTTTTGTTAACTGCTGTATCTTAAGACTCTGCCATAAAACCTACTACACTGAAAATCCTCAGAAAATAAATCTTTAAAATTTTTACTTTAAAAATCATGTGTTTTATGTTTGTCTGTGTGCGGGAATGTGCATGTGTGAATGCAGGTGTCCACAGAGTCCAGAAGAGGAGACCAAAGTCACCTGGAACTGGAGTTACAGGTAGTTATGAGCTGTCTAATGTGGATGCTGGGAGTTAAACTCAGGTTCTCTGCAAGTTCTTAAACTGTGAGGCATCCCTCCAGACCCTCAGAAAATAAATTTTATTCAGAAATTCAACCACCTCATATACTTAGCATACAC